GCCGCCACCGCCGCTAACAGACATCATTCAACCTAAAAGCTTTTTGTAATCCATAGGGGGGGGCCCAGAAAATGTTTGGAAACCACTGCATTAAAGTATTATAGAAATCTGAGTTGTTTTTTTAAGTACTTCAGGTTCCTTCATTTTCTGGAAAGGGGATGGAATTAGTTTCTTGATCTGAATAAGCTCGGAGGAGAAGTGTATAGAAACTCTTTATGATTCTGTCTCTTTAAAAGTCTTGATGTGTGTGTGTTGCAGGAGCTGGCTCCTCACAGGAAACTTGGTCCAGGTTTTCTGAGCAGGATGAGCGAGACCATGAGGGCCATGGCCAACTCTGTGCGAGGCCTCAGGAGCAAGCTGGAGGAGTTTGCCGTCATGCAGGAGTATGTGGACGACTTCAGCAACAAGATGTGCTCTGTGGACAAAGTCACCAACAGGATCATCAAGGAACATAGAGGTACAGTTTCAGCTTTAAAGCAGATGTCATGGAAAATATTTCTCTTCCTGTGCCTCCATGAATGTCCTTTTTCTGTTTTTCTTCATCCTGCTTTAATCCTGATTTATTGTTCACTAAAAGCATTACCTATGTGAGAGATGGCCAAAAGTCATGTTTACTTCAGTTTTATAAACGTCATTTAGCAAGTTATGGTAAGTTTGATCCAGTATTAATGTTACGTGTATCCAGAAAGTGAACAAGACAAATTTGATAAATCAATTTGTCATATCCAATAAATGAGAATAGTATTAAAAGTTCATCTTTTGTCTCTGAGACAAACACATTACATTAGATTATTGCCACACAGACCAAAACTTTCTTTTCTGTTAATTATGATTTTCTGGCTACAGTTAATGAATTTAAGACTTTTAACTTCTTAACTGGCGGTGCTCCGTTTTGTCCCATCGATGGGACAAATCTAGTTTGTCTGAATCTCTGCCTTCTTCTCCTCTTTAAACTCTGCCGGTGTCCATTATGACGCTTTTATGTGGCAGCCTAGAGCCCCCCCCTTTGAGAAAATGTTTGGAAACCACTGGGGGGGGCACAGAAGAAAAAGTTTGGGAACCACTGAACTACACAATACCTGGCTCTGATCGGAGAGAGACTTAGAGTCTACAGTTAGACAAAATTAATCAAAGATGTGGTGAGAATGAAGCTCAAAGTTTGAACAGTGACCTGGAAACTGAGTGGGGAGATTTTCAGCCTCTGTAGACTCTCAATATGCAAATGATTGCACTTATTATTATTTTTTTTCGTTTGGACATACTGTGCTTCCATTTTGAACCTTGAGTCACAGAAGAACAAAATCCGATTTGGGGAAAAAAGTAAATTTTTTCACTGTGAAATCCTCAAATATTCATAACAAATAGTTTTTATTATTTAGAATGGCAATATATACTGTACATTTCTTAAACTGGTGTAAAAATATTGCAAGCAACACAGTTTTATAACATTATAAAAAAAGAAGTTAAAAAAAAAGTCTTTTGGACTATGGGAAAAAGGCTTTTCTTCCTTGGCTCCCAGAGTTAGCCATGGCTGTAAGCTATTTACTAATAGCTGCTGGGGGAGTGGCTCTGCCTCACCCCGTAGTGATTAACTCCTTGCAGCTGCGCAGCACTGCCATTCCCCTCCTTGGATCTCTGAGTAGCTGCCTCTCAGACTGCCATGATCTCATCGTACTCTCAGTCTCTGATACTCTGTCAGTTGTTAATAAGAATGATCTATCTGCCATCGTCATCATGTTTCCCCTCTTCATCTTCCGACTCAAAACAGAGCGCCACTGCCGGCTACACGTTCATTATTCACATAATCCATTATATACATATCAGAAACCACTAAGCTAAAAACAAATCACGAAATTGATGCCACTGATTGCTCCAATATCCAAACGTTGCATTAATTTTGTGATCTAACTATATTTGCCGCTGCTCCATTCGCGCCGCTTCTCCGTTACTGCTTCTCTTTCATGGTTACTTGCCCAACTTTACTTCGTTTCTTAACAACAAATACAGCCCATTGTTATTTGTTGAAAATTTGAGATTTCCCAAAACAAAGGAATGTAATTGTGTGTTTCATTTTTTTACGTTTGGAAGCTCATTCCATTTCACATTCCCAGAAAAGCCGGTTTTTGACATTTCTCTGACATTTAGAAAAATATGATTTGCTTATCTAAGCATAACTCCGGTTTTATTTGGCCTTTTAACAGAATTTAAAAACTGGTGTGTAGTTTATAATGATTACTTTAAGCACAAGTGGAAAGTGAGACTGGGGGAGGCGGAGTCTTGCTGCTACACCGTCACAAATCAGACATGTAAAAACTACGCATATAAGCCGAGGGGGGGGGGAAATCAATAAAGATTGTAGAATCAATTTTATTATACATTTATTATCCAAACATAATAGCTACATACTACTTAAAGTTAAAACATTTTTGACTGTAAAAATAAAAAAAAATTAGCTTGACATCTTCATAAAGAGACCAAGCTTTTGCATGTACTCTAAATTGTTCAGGAACAGCAACTGATTTAATTTGGGTATACCTTTTCTGGCATTTTTGGTGATTTTGGTACTGCCAGATAACAGGTTAAGATTAGAATATTTCATTAGACCCATAAAAAACATTACAATGCAAAAAAATTGGCTTAATGAGAAGAATGTATAATACTTGCTTAAAGTTTATTTTCTAAAAGTACTTTTAACCTGACAAATAAGCCCCACCTGAATGCAGGTTAGAATTATAATTGTTTTTGGATGTAGGTACAGTAGGCCCCTGCTTAATCGTGGTTTAGGATTTGCAGTTTTTTATGTAAAATGTAACTCTCAATTATTTTCTTGAAATTTGCAAATTTGTGGATGTTTTGGAGACCATGTCTAAAATATTCAAAGCTTCTCTCTCTTCTTTGTGCTTTCAGAATACATGGATGAGCTGAAGCAGTATGGTCCTACCTACTTCCAGTGGGCAGAGTCAGAGGAACTCCTGGCAGAACCACTGAAGGGTGTTGGTAGCTGTGTGGAGAGGTGCAGTAAGGAGACAGAGGAGCAGATCCAACACCTGTCCGAGGTTCTTGTCCCTACCCTGCACGAGTATGTCCTCTGTGCCGACACTCTGAAGGTGAGAATAGAAGAGAAGTGCTCAAACCACTGACTGCAATCAAATTTGAATCACTAATGGCCTCAGCTCTGGGTGGCTCTAGACCGCTCCAGCTGGGAACAGTTTAAGCATCAACAACTCAAAAACAAAAGAATAATCTTTAAATTGTTTTAGTTTTGCTTATTTGATCTGTGCCCAGACTGAACTCTTACTTGCTTACATAAAATGTTAAATAACACATTTTAGAGCTGATGCTGCATGGACTGGTATCTGCATGCATGCTTCTCCCTTTCAGGTTGCACCTGATCTCAGGGCCTCTTGGCCAATCAGCAGCATGTGTGTTGCAGCTTTTTGGTGGTTTAATGGCAGTTGGTGTTCTTGGTGTGCACCTCATCCCTTGCTGCAGGGTGAGATTTCCATTCTTTTATTGAGGTGAAGTGTTGGTGTTGTAGTGAACTGATTGTAGTGAAGGCCAAATGAAGCCTCATGAAGCAATGAAGCTTTCTAGCCTTTTGCTTTGGCCAAAGGTTCATTACTCCATGCTTTAATCACAGGTAGCGTCTGCTGCTGCACTAAGACTGTGACAGCCTTGTCACTCAAGCAAGTCATACTTCAAAAAATATTAGAAGATAGTAGTGTCTGAATGTGCAACAATACTGTTTTATCAAACCCATGTGAGGTCTATTGAACCCAATTTAACTTTGTCGTGATTTGTACTCAAAGTAATCCTGTTCTTGGTCGTCATCTAAGATTGTGTTTTCTTGTATGCCATTAACTTATTTGACAATAAAGATATATTTATTTCAGTTTTGCTTGTTGAGGCAGAGATGGTATTTGTGACTTCCTGAAACAATGTTTTTAACTTTATTTTTCTGGGAGTTCTGGTTGTGATCCCTCATAGTTAGAGAATTTGAACCTTCCAATTACTTTCAGGCTGTTTCTGATGTGTAAGATTAATGTTTCTTTATTTGATCAAACAAGAATTAAAAAAAAATTCTATAAAATTATGAAAGTTAATAATTTTTATTTAAATAGAACCTTATTGTGAGCAGTCATTTCAAAGTATTCCCAGAGGGAGAGGTTTTCCTCCTTATCATTGGCTTCACTTCAGCTACTGCTGATGACAAATACTCTCCTCAGATGCTACTATCTCTGCTGCTGCACAACCTAATGACCTACAACCCACAAAGCAGCACGGCTCATTGTGCTTTTAGTTTGAAAACAGACATGCAAAATGAAGTAGTGACATACCCAATGTAATGCGAGGCATGGTTTGTTGTTGGTCACGTGGTTTTCAGCCAGACAACATGAGCATCAAAGCGAGGCTTCATCTGACATGTCCCCTTACAGTGTTATTTTTACCTAAGGTCATCATATGGTCATAATTTTATGCCAACCAATTCTTACAAGCTTGAGTTAACTAGGTTGCTCCAAGACCCTCCCCCTTGCTCTGATTGGTTATTTGGTTGTCATGGAAAAATTACTTTAATAAGAGTCTGGATGAGAAGAAATATGAAATTTATTAAAACCTTGCAAGATGAGAACAGAAATACAGAGTCTGTCAAGTCTGCTCTGACCAACAGTGGATCTGGCTTCCTTTTATAGGTTCTGGTCAGAGAAGAGAGACTTGATTGGACTAGAGGTTTGAATCCTTGATTGTTATGTAGCAACAATTCTGTGGAGCCCCACACAGATGGTCTGGCCATTTGTCTATTGTTAAGGAAAGGAGATTGTTCTCTGATGCTAAAGAGGGCAGATGACTTCTACGTTGGGGGAGTAACACTTAGATAGTCTGCAGGATCAAGGAACTCCTGCTGTTATATGGCACTGTAGAAGTCTATAGGAGAGCAGTTTGACCAATCTCATGATAAGATTATGTAGACACAATCTAAAGCACAAGAGGGGTGAGGAGCACATTATAAAATGTTCCATTACAGTTGTCTTATATTTGCATTTCTGCAAACTACACTGAGAGGAGATTGATCTGTTCACAGATCATCTGTCTCATGTAATGCTGTCAGGACATGGTAATAGTTTAAATAAATATGTAAAAATCATTTTTGTAAAAGTTACTCCAGTTTGAAGTGTGCTTGATAAATAAATTTGATATGACTTGGGTTTCAAAATATTTTCCAATGCTTACACTTTGCTTACACTAGTTGGCCAGTAGGTGGCTTTCTGTGGGTCAACATTCAAGTCCAATAAATGTTTGTGTTTCTTCCAGGCTGTAATGAGACGGAGAGACAACATCCAGGCTGAGTTCGAAGCAAAGAATGAGGCCCTGGCCTCAAGAACAACTGACAAAGAAATGGTAAGCATGATTTACATTCCCCTCTCTGTTCATCATGCACACATCAACATGAATAGCTCTCCTATGTTGTACTTCTCTGCAGTTAGATTTCATAAAGAAAAAAAATGGAGTGAGCTCTCTCTCTCTGGACCAAGCTCAGTCCATATTATGGAGGGACAAGAGCTCCCACAGAGTATTATCTCAGTAAGCCAGGCTGCCACTCATTTGTCCAGTAGAAAATGGAGCTGCTGATGTGCTGTAACACAGTGACAGTCACCACCACGGCTACAGCTGAGCCGTTTCCACCGGTCTGCATGCTCAGCTTGTACTTGTGTAGATGTGCAGGTGTGTCTCTCCTCTCTGACAGCGAACATTAAATCCATCTGCTAGATTTTAATTAGAAGTTCAGTGTGAGACCCTGCCGCCCACACCTCAGCCCACAGGTGTGTGTGGCTGCTGAGAGTGGAGCAGCTCTAATTCAGTCCTCAGGCTCCTAATGCATGTAAGCCAGTGTGGGCCTTCAGCTGATCCACTGTAATAAGAAGTGAAATGTCACTTGGACACCCTGGAGGATCTCAGTATAGATTGGATGAGCGTTCAGCTCACTTCTTACCTCATTCTGAATGAGGTTCTCTGCTTAGTCCAGTGGTTCTTATCCTGGGTTCCGTCGAACCCCAGGGGTTCGATGAGTCGGTCTCAGGGGTTCGGCAGAGCCTCTGCCGCGGAGGTAAAGACACACTGTGTAAAGTCGTGATGACGCCCCGCTTCGCCGTCACTTGCTGCAGAGGATCACGTTACATTGCTGAGCCAATCAGAGCTGCGGAGGAGCACTGATTGAAGGAGTTCCACTCTCAGCATGGATTTGAACTTGTGTTTTGAATTACTTCAGCAAAGCTTTCGGTGTACTTCTAAATCTGCTCCTTAGTCGCATCTTTTCGGGTTGCTACTGCCTCTATTGCCGTGGGGGTGGTAACACAACTAATATAATTACATTACTAAATCAGAATACCGCAAAGTCTTTATTATTCATTATAAAATTTTCATTCTCTTAAGAATGTAGAGCTAATTAAATGATCTAAATAAGACCTTAAAGTGGTTCCAGTTTCTCTCGATGGCCAACCTGTTGAAACTGTGGCAAATTTTAAATGCCTTGGGTCGTTCCTGGACAGTCAGCTCAACTTTGCTGAAAACACTGACTATATTTTGAAGAACTGTTCTCAGAGACCTTTTAAGAAGACTTAGTGATCTTGGGGTGACCTAACTACACTCTAGTTGGGTCACCCCTAAGTCTTGAATTTGGGGGGGGAGGGGGACAAAAATCTGATTTTAATTTTATTTATTACTACAGAAGGGTTCCGTGAATGCGCATACGAAACTGGTGGGTTCGGTACCTCAAAAAAGGTTAAGAACCACTGGTTTAGTCGTTTGCTGGTTCAAAATCTTGTGATCAGGGGAATCTGCAATCCAGGCTTTTCTGTTTGGTGCGACTTTTTTTCCAAGTAGACTGTAATTTGTAAACAAAGCCACAAAAGTGATGATCACTGCTCCCATTGGATAGATGGTCAGCAGGGGCGGGACAAAACACAAACATGGAAGTCCTGCTTGCTGCATTTCTTTTGTGCATGTTTGTGCTGTTATTACAACTTTATTACCATTCTGGGTGTGTTCATAAACTCTGACCTGAACCTTCAGAGCCACATAAAGACAGTTACAAAGTCAGCCTTCTATCTCCTGAAGAACATTTCCAGGAGAAGAGGACTACTGTCTCAGCAACATCTAGAGAAACTCGTCCATGCGTTTGTCTTTAGTCGCATTGATTACTACAACAATGTCTTCACAGGTCTGTCTAGAAAATCTGATCAGCTAATCCAGAACAGTGCTGCTGGAGTTCTCTCTAAAAACAGGAAGATGGAGCACATCACCCCAGATACAAAGTTTTTCCACTGAGAGAACAGACTTTAAAATACTGTTACGACCCAGCTCAGCCAGGGGGAGGGGAAGTAACATTAAAGAAACCTGGATGTTAAAGGTTTAACAGTTTGAGATTTAGTGTTTGGGTTTGACAAAATAAAAAGGTAAAATTAAAATTAATAAAAATGTAGGGACTTACAACCAAAAATATACTAAATAAAACAAAATCCACAAAACAAGCAATGTTGTACCAAAGCACTTAACCAAACAAAAATGGACTTCAAGTCCAGGTTAAACAAAATTAAACAAAATAAACTACAAATCTCTAGCAGAGATACAAATATCCCCCTCACAGGGACAGAGCAAGTTACAAAAGCGATCCAAGCTTACAAAAGCAAGCAAAAAGACAAGGCGAGTTTACAGCAGTCAGATACTCAACAAAGAATCAGCCGCGCCTTCTCCCAGGAAGTCTTGGGTTTAAAAGAAGGAGGCCTCATCAGGGATTGGTGGAGGTGACAATTGGTGAGCCAATCGCTGTAGGCCTCAGGGAGTGGCACAGGAAGGCAGGGCTGCATCCACTTTCAAGTGGAGTCAATTTGATTAGAAGCTGGAAAACTGCAGATATACAGAAAAGGAAAAGAAAAGAAAAACATACAAGGCCGCTGGCTGTAACAATAGTGTTAATTTATAAATCACTGAACAGCTTAGCACCACAGTACACCACAAAATCGCAAGGTTTCCTCCAATGTCTTATAAGCCTGCTTTACTAGCCCTCCCTTCTCCCAGCAGGCTTTGTTTCGTTGCTTTTTTATGTTTCTTTTAATATCTCTTAATTTCTTTTCTTTTTTCCTTTTTTTTTTTTTTAAGCCGGATTGCAAGCGTCTCTGTTGCTCAGAGCATTTCACTAGCGGAGCAAATTTATTCCTAAAGGATAGGTTTATAATAGATAGGCTTATAGTTTATGCATTTAAAGCCAGCAGCACACGGACCAATAACACAGTTGACGCCTCTGCACGTTGCCTCGCGCGTTGGGGCTGCTTGATGAACTTTACCTCAGCGCATATTGCGCGCACCTCCTTTCACTCAAACTGGACACAGGCTCACCTCCTGTATGGATATTTACATCAACTTCCTGTGAGGAATTATGTTTCTTTGGAGGACTCAAGGTAAGAGTTTAAAACCCACCATGTTAGCTCTGGTTGCGCAGCTCTTTATGAACCGCAGAAATAACTTGTAGTCACAAATTCAGAGGTGTACATTGAGGGAGTGGTGAGAATGATTTATAATTGTGAACGAACAATTATGTGCGGCGCTTACATCTCAACATGCTGCCCAGTAAGTGGCTCTGTGTCGGTCTACGCTGTAAAGTTTATGTATGTGGTCCCGGTTGGCCGGTGCGTTAGTGGTTAACGAACCAGTGCTAACCTCATCATGCAGGTTCAGCCTGGTGAAGAGCTTTCACGCTTGCCTCGTAGTCACGCATCACGCTGGTTTTGTATTATTTTAGTATTATTTTTCCGGTTACACGATCCATCAACCCGTATCAAATGTGTTGTCTTTTTATTCAGCTGTCAGTCAGAGTTCATGCACGTGCAGCCTTGTGGATATCTGAAAATCTCGTCTCATTAACTCCAGCAGCCAGAACAGTTTCTGTGACCCCTTATTAAAAACTCAGACATGAAATGGAAGAGCTCATAAAGCCACATTAGCAGCATTGAATTAAATCTACTGTTGCACATCTCTGCGCAGTGCTGCGGATTTAGCGCGCATCATGCAGGGGCGGTACAAGGCTGTATGAGGCATTGAGCAGAAATTGACTTAGGGGCCCCTTTGGTTGCTAAAAACATCAGCACCTCTAACAGCTTCTGTGTTAGATTTAGTTAAATCTGGGAGAGGGGGAGTAGTTTAATTGGCCAGCCTAAAAAGCAATCAGTTATAATTGCTGTTTACTAATTTGTATTTGTGAACAAATATGCCCCTTTTCCACCGGCTCTACTTCAGCAGCCTGACTCTACTTCAGAGTGACCGCCTTTCCACCGTCTGTCTCAGCTCTGTAGCAGAGTGACGCCTCCTGGTGGTGGTGGGGGGGGGGGGGATAGCACCCCGCCTCCAGGCACAGTGCTTCTGTTTCTTACCGTGTGACCTAACGCGAGTTGTTGTTTTTCTGAAACAAAAGAAGAGGAGAAAGCTGAACTATTGTTTTATAGCCTGTGATTGTGATTTTTCTGAGACTTCAAGAAAATGTGCGGTGAGAGGAATGCTGCGATGTGGCCAGGAGGACAACTGATCTCTGCTGACTTCCCACCTGAGGAAAGCAGGTGGCTCAGACGGTGCAGGTAAGCTAACAATGATTTTTGTATTAAACTGCTATAAAACTTGTAATACAGTGCCGGATATACATGTGCTAATTTTAGACAGGGTGTTGCAAATAACTTAATAGCATCAGAATTGCGTGTTGGCGCCGCACATTCATAATATATTTCAATGTGTTTTCAGATGTTGGTTATATGCCGCTGCAGACCATCAGTGAGGTTCTTCCTTCAGCCTCTGAGTTGTAGGATCTCATCAGTGTCCGTCTTCCTGACTGCTGGTTGGTGTTTACCTTCAGGATGTCCAGAGACCTTCACCTTTCTGGAGCAGGAATCACATGAGCTCAATATGCTGATGAAACATTTCTGATAAAAAAATATGTCTGTTGTTCTTACAGAGTTGAAGTGCAATAACAATCTGTTGTTTTTAACTTCTCAATACGTTTAATTATGATTCATCTGACGTTCAAGTTATACTGAGAACAAATAAAGCCATATTTCTTCTAATCTGACTGATTCTAGTTTTAATCAAACCTTCCATGTTTTCACATTTGGTCACTAAGAATTGATCGGGGGCTTAAAAGTTTAAACTCAGTCTTGTTTATCACTAATTAAGGTTACAGATTTTGGACACATTTTCTCACTTTCTTACATTGAAGATTCTCCAGGAAGACAGATAAACAGTGAGTGGATAGGACGATGTTGGATAAAATAGAAATTAACAAACATGACTTGTATTTTGGGTTCTTGTTAATAGCAATCCTGAAAACATCAAAATGTTTGGTTTGCTGAATAATGTATTCATGTTTGGATACCTTCATTGGTAATCTACAATGTTAAGTGTCAATGAAATATTTATATAATACTCTCCATGGAGCTCTGCCATCTCTGCTGGTAGCTGCTTCCTCCTGAAGGAGATGCAGTTGTTCTGATGGTTCTCCTCATCGTTCATCATGTCAGCCATGTTCTTCTGTTCCCTGCAAGTAATCAGATGTTATAGCTTATAGCACATAAATGTAGATAAATAACAATTATTGATGTGGAAGTTACAAAGGAATGATTTAAAACACACAAGTTACTTTATATTTTTACCATCCTGACATAAACAATTATAAATAACTGGAATAGTGGTGTAAATTAAAGACAAAACATAATTTCTTGTAAGTTTTGGTGCTATGCAGACATACAGCCATGGATAAATACCACTGTCGTTTTCTTCAGGTTTATTGTTCATTTTTATGTCCTCTACAATTAATAGTTCATAACCATTTAATTATATCTAGCCATTTTACAATAATAGAATATCATATAACATATTTTATTATCTCACAACGGGGGAAACTCTGGTGCAACAACAGCAAAATGAGAAACAATCAAAGCACGTATATCAGGGGTGCCTAATACGTCGATCGCGATCGAGGTGGTCGATCGCGGAAAGGTTTTGAGTCGATCTCGGCAGATGACAAACTGAACGCCGCCACGACGCTGAGACCAGCACTTCCTCTTCTGATAGGCTTATCAAAAATATTCACTAAGATCCTAAACGTTTGTAGCTTCATTAAAAAAGAATAATTATAAAAAGTCAACGAAACATGTTAAAATTAATAATCTCAGTAATTATTGTTTCAACAAGGTGTTGCGCAATTCAGTGTGTTTCGGTTCCATTAACAAAAAAAAGGGGGAAAAAAAGGCGACTCAAACTGACGAGCAGAGCAGGAGTTTAAATGAGCTACTCAACCACCGCTATGTTCATGAGAGGCTTATTAATAATCGAGAAATAAATATCAAGCCTGGAAACCTAATATCGTAACAGACTGAATGTTGTGTTTTTAACATAATCTCTGCTGAGCTTGCGGGGCGCAGGCGGTTGCCACGGCAACGGGTGGCTTAAACGACAAAGAAACAGAAAGTAAAAATATAGGAGTGGTTT